CAGTAGGGTTTAAGTGTTCTTGGGTGAAGGGATTACCCTATGGGCATTGGTTAGAGGGAAAGTAAAATCAGGTAATTGCAAACTCTGAAGTATTCAGGTGAAATATTGAGGGATAAAAGTTGTTTTTGTTCTAATAAAACATATGAGGTAAGGGGTATGTTTATGGGAAGATCAGAGTGTGATGTTAGATGATAACTTTGGATAAGTATGTCCTTAAGGGTAGTAATGACAAATAATAGGTTACTTTTTATATATCAGGTAGTAAGAAGAGCAGGACTTTGATGGTTAAAAGATTAGCTTTTGACTGACAATGTAACTATGGGAATTTTAGAGATATTTGGTGGGTTTGTGATGATAAAATATATATACTTATATTAGGGATGGACAGGATTTGGTTACATGTCAACGTTTAAGCTTCCATATGAGGTTTTTACCATTATAAGAGGGATAGCATTGGACACAGCTAACTCTAGGGTTAAAAGGGTGACATTACATTTACATTTTAGTCATTTAGCAGACACATGGCGACATGTCATAGTCTTCAAGCCTATCATTGAAGGGTAAGTCTAAGGGAGAAGGGGGGACTTTATTCATGGTATGGTGTAACATTTGGGAAGATAATATTGAGAAATATTAGCTATACTTTGAGTCCAGATAGTTCAGATAATATCACTGGGGTTATAGATGCATTATAAGGGATGTGTTTGGGAGATCTGAGAGGATGCTAGATCAATTAGGCCAGTAGGAGCAGTGATGGTGCAGATTTTAGTCGCAGCTCTGATAGCGTTGTGTGTCATGTTTTGCTTTTGTACTTTGTTACTGACCTTTGCAAAAGCTATGATATTAAGATGGGTTGGTGTTGTGATGCCTGGAGACAACACTCAGATGCCGTTGTTGATTGTTCCTGATCTGGACGAAGATGGACGAGGGGATCTAGATGGACTACTGATGGATAAATATCCTTTTTCATTATTTGATCATAATTTTTATTTTTATTTTAATTTTTTTTCAATATTAGTGTGATGTTTAGTATGATTTATGAATCAAGGGGGGAATGGGTTTATGTGATTCATGCATCATTTATATATCAGGTTTATAGTCTTAGTGGATATTGATGTTTAATTTGAAAGTGTTTTCTGCAAAAGATACTGTTTGGTTGTTTATTTTCTTGTCATTCCAGAAGCATTTGGGAGAACATGTGGAGATTGGAATACTCAAACAAAGACAATATGAAGGGAGAATATGACTGGAGGAGATGAAACAAGGAGGGTGTGGCTGATTCCATCATCAACAAGTTCATTGGAAGAGGACACTACAGGGAGAGGAAGTGTAGTGGACTACATTCCAGTGTCTGCAATGAAATATAGACATGTGTAATACATAATTGTGTCATATTCTTAGGTATTGATTTTAGTAGAATGATGTTTGATGTTATTGAATGCAGATGAGGATCTTAGATGCTTTTGTTTATTTCGATGGGGTTTAGGGACAGAAGGTTTAAGCAGGGAGAGATTATCTTTCAGGTCCTATGGGTTGACCAGCCTGAGAGTGGATGTTTCTGGATAGGATTTTGTTTGCAGGGGAAACATGTGTATTTAATGGCATCATAGTTTCAAATGCATTTACATGAGTTATGAGGTTATCTGGAGTACCGACGGTGGTTGCCTGGGGCAGAGGGACCGTGAGAGAATTTTACTGTCTTGATTGATATGGATGGATGGCTGCTGGACAGTTTTTCGCTCTTACACTCCATAGAGATTTCTTCATATGTCATAGTAATGTATTCACACTTCATAAACAGGTATTTCATAGGAAGGTATTTACACTCTAGAGGAGAATGTGTTTGGTTTAATGTTAAAGATACTCAATGAGATAAATGGTTAATAGTCATAATCTTATTCTGTTTGTTTTCGAGACGTTTATTTCGTCTCGAAAGGGGGGAATATCGTATCTGAAGATTATGCCTTTGTTAAATGTTTTTCATGACGAAATGGAATGTTGGTTATGTTAGTATCAAAAGGCACTATTTAGTATAAGGTAACATATAATAGACAGGAAGTGTATTGTAAACTGGCCAGAAGAGGGAGCCATCTTGTTGCATTGGTTATAAATAGGGGTACACGAAGAAGATAGGACAGAGCAGACATTAGAATTGGAGGACACTGCTCTCCGGACCACGCGTGTCTGTAAACTCATGCTGAAGCTTGTGGTCTGAATAAACCTTATGATCAATGTTCAGTATGAGCAGACTCCTTTTGTTGACAGCAATAATGACCACCATTCATCATATACGACAACAGTCTTGTGGCTATTGTAGTCTTTTGACAATAGGGATCTCTGAAGTCGGAGACTGTAGAGAAAGCGAAACACCTACATCCCTAATTTATACGGATCGGAGCGGGGCCACTCGAGTGGTCTACTTATTGCCCCCAGCCACGTGGAGTGGCTGCCCCAGGGAAAGACATCTCACTGGCTAATATTTTCTGGATAGGCGGGGCAAGGCGGAGGAACCAGTGAGCTCACGCGGAGAAAGCGTGCCCACGCTCACCATCTATGCTAAAGTTGTCTGAGGTGATGGATGCACAGATGCTCCTCCCCTCGCCTCACCTCAGTAACGTCACCTTAGGCTTCCACCTTTTTATTATGACCGTGTCAGTACATGCTCCAGGCTAGGCTACTCTGAATGCAGCAGGAAAATGGTAAGTCAACATGTTTTATAAACGTGTCAGGTTAAGATATGTTTGACGGCAGGTAGGCTATTCCTTATTCAAACTGGGGAAGACTTTAGGACTCAACGTTGTAACAATTGCTATTCCTCTCAGGTAATTTGAACAGGTACAAATTGAAATGGCCCAGATTTCGCATGACAGATTGTAAGGATGTTCACAAAAAGGGATTTAATTTGTTGTTAGCATACATGAAATTGTCAAATGTTAACATATTTTGTAACTACTTGCAAAACAAAACACTACAGGCAAACTATCTGGCAGCGTTCCAGGTAGTCTTTTTTTGCAGTTGCGCTGCGAGTCTGGTTGCAATATAATAATATGTCATATTAATGGGTTTCCTGACATGATACATACTTCTCCAGGCGTTGTGAGATGTGATAATGTTCGTATGCAGAAAAAGACGATCTGGAACGCCATCTTTCTCTCGATATAGCTGCCTAACCCCCTCACATTCAAATCTGGACCAGAGCCAGTTCCACTGCTTTTTAAAAATGATTCCTCTCTAATCAGGGACTGGTTTAGACCTGGGCCACCAGGTTGCTGACATTAATTATAAGGTAGAACAGAACCAGCAGCAGTCCTCATAGCATAGGGTAAAATGTGAATACCCCTGGTCCCTAATCAGTTGCTATAGCAACATGTGAGGTTAATAGCTGTGCACATAATCCTAAAAGGCCTACCTCTAAATGGACTACATTTGAATATTTTCTTATTTTAGGGCAGGGGTATTCAAATCTGAAATGGTGCTGATTTTGTTCTACCTGATGACTGATTGCACCCACCTGGTGTCCCAGGTCTAAATCAGTCCCTGATTGAGAAAATTAGAAGACAAAAGCAGTGGAACAGGCTTCGAGGTCCAGATTTGAATTTGAGTGTTTTAGTTGACGTTCATCCAAGGACACCTTTACTTGCATTACCCACCCTCACTGCAGAAACATTTTCTCATGTAATCATGTGTCTTGTAGTTAGAACATTCATGTAACTGCAAGCAGGAAACAAGTGGACAAACCAGAAATTTACATTTACATTTTAGTCATTTAGCAGATGCTCTTATCCAGAGCGACTTACAGTTAGTGAGTGCATACATATTTTTTTATTTTTTTATTTTTTCATACTGGCCCCCCGTGGGAATCGAATCCACAACCCTGGCGTTGCAAACGCCATGCTCTACCAACTGAGCTACATCCCTGCTGGCCATTCCCTCCCCTACCCTGGACGACGCTGGGCCATATGTGACATTTGGAAAATCGACTAAGCTTTAAATGCCAGGATGTTATACTAATTTCGGCTATAATTCGCTGCACACTGTTGAGGAAGGACGCACTGTACCCAAATGAACGGTGAGTCTAGTATGTTGATATTTGTTGTTACTGCATACATTTTTACGATTAGTAATACACATTATGTCGTTTTAGTAAGTATTTCGGATACGACCTATGACTCCCAGCCAACCTTGACAAAATTGATTCATAACTTAGCCACTTTGGTTTTGTGTTGGGCCATAGAGATATACAGCAGAGGCAGCTCTATTGATGCTATCTCCTTTTTAAAGTAGTACACTGGCTGATCCCTCCCGATGACCCGTCTGGACACAACAGGGTCTCCAGGAAGGATAAGCCAATGAAGGTGGAAGCCCCACCCAGTTGACTACGTTAAAATGGTGGAACCGCAGCTCATGCTAATACAGCCTTTTGGCCATTAGAGGCCTCTATCATTCTCTATGATTGGGGCAGGTTGGGGCTAGAAGGGATACAGTTTGTCAGAATTGACCAGGATAGACTTTTCCTAGCAGGTTAAGAGAAATACTCCGCAGATTAGTATAATTAACGTAGTAGGTTGGGAAAATTAGGTTAAAGTTAAGTAAAGGGTTAACTCAAATACAAAAACAAACTTTTAACGTCAATTTGACAAACTGTGCACCATCTAGCCATGCCCAGGTTGGGGTGGATTGGTGTCCTGCCTAGGCATAATACAATTTCCTAAAAGAGGACTGACACGAACAAGACAACTAAATAACATAATTACATATACACTATGTAATTATGCTACATTGCTAGGTTAAATTATTTTTTATTGTTTTATAATAATAATAATTTAAACAAAAAAACATTCAGCCTTTACTGCTTTTCCCAATTGTATTCGGCACAAAATGCTTTACAGAATGTCATTATAATATATAATATAATGGTATTTACTCTTCTTATTTACAGATTGATATGGGACCAGACCAGTCCTCTTCAGGATTTTGAGACCTCCTCTCTTAGAGTTATAATGAGTTATCATCAGGGGGCTAAGGGTGGTGCCATCCCTAAAGAAAGACAGAAGGATGGGTCACCAAACAATGATCTTGATGAGACCATGGACCCTGATATGAAGAGGTGTGTGTGTTTGTGTGCGCGCACAACTGCTCGTTGAAGACTTTTAGATCTGTATCCTATTTAAAAGTAATGCATTTTTAGAAGGATACTGAGTTACTGCATAGTACATTTAACAGAAAATATGAATGATTTGGTAAGCGTAAATGACTGAGGACAAACCAAGTCCAAAGGTAGTTCACTTCTATAATGCTGCATGTGATTTGAGTACATTTACATTTACGTCATTTAGCAGACGCTCTTATCCAGAGCGACTTACAAATAGGTGCATTCACCTTATAGCCAGTGGGATAACCACTTTACAATGTTTTTTATATTTTTATGTTTTTTTGGGGGGGGGGTGGAGTAAGGGCGGGGGGTAGAAGGATTACTTTATCCTATCCCAGGTATTCCTTAAAGAGGTGGGGTTTCAAATGTCTCCGGAAGGTGGTGAGTGACTCCGCTGTCCTGGCGTCGTGAGGGAACTTGTTCCACCATTGGGGTGCCAGAGCAGCGACTGGGCTGAGCGGGAACTATGCTTCTGCAGAGGTAGGAGAGCCAGCAGGCCAGAGGTGGATGAACGCAGTGCCCTCGTTTGGGTGTAGGGACTGATCAGAGCCTGAAGGTACGGAGGTGCCGTTCCCCTCACAGCTCCGTAGGCAAGCACCATGGTCTTGTAGCAGATGCGAGCTTCAACTGGAAGCCAGTGGAGTGTGCGGAGGAGCGGGGTGACGTGAGAGAACTTGGGAAGGTTGAACACCAGACGGGCTGCAGCATTCTGGATGTGTTGTAGGGGTTTAATAGCACAGGCAGGGAGCCCAGCCAACAGCGAGTTGCAGTAATACAGACGGGAGATGACAAGTGCCTGGATTAGGACCTGTGCCGCTTCCTGTGTAAGGCAGGGTCGTACTCTCCGAATGTTGTAGAGCATGAACCTACAGGATCGGGTCACCGCCTTGATGTTAGCGGAGAACGACAGGGTGTTGTTCAGCGTCACACCAAGGCTCTTCGCACTCTGGGAGGAGGACACTTTTTATTTTATTTTTTTTATTTCACCTTTATTTAACCAGGTAAACCAGTTGAGAACAAGTTCTCATTTACAACTGCGACCTGGCCAAGATAAAGCAAAGCAGTGCGATAAAAACAACAACACAGAGTTACATATGGGGTAAAACAAAACAAAAATCAAAAAAAAATACAACAGAAATACAATTAATATACAGTGTGCAAATTTAGCAAGTTATGGAGGTAAGGCAATAAAATAGGCTATAGTGCAAAATAATTACAATTTAGTATTAACACTGGAATGATGTGCAAGAGATGATGTGCAAATAGAGATACTGGGGTACAGATGAGCAAAATAAATAACAATATAGGGATGAGGTAGTTGGGCGGGCTAATTTCAGATGGGCTGTGTACAGGTGCAGTGATCGGTAAGGTGCTCTGACAACTGATGCTTAAAGTTAGTGAGGGAGATAAGTGTCTCCAGCTTCAGAGATTTTTGCAATTTGTTCCAGTCATTGGCAGCAGAGAACTGGAAGGAATTGCGGCCAAAGGAGGTGTTGGCTTTGGGGATGACCAGTGAGATATACCCGCTGGAGCGCAGACTACGGGTGGGTGTTGCTATGGTGACCAATGAGCTAAGATAAGGCGGGGATTTGCCTAGCAGTGATTTATAGATGGCCTGGAGCCAGTGGGTTTGGCGACGAATATGTAGTGAGGACCAGCCAACAAGAGCGTACAGGTCACAGTGGTGGGTATTATATGGGGCTTTGGAGACAAAACGGATGGCACTGTGATAGACAACATCCAATTTGCTGAGTAGAGTGTTGGAGGCTATTTTGTAAATGACATCGCCGAAGTCAAGGATCGGTAGGATAGTCAGTTTTACGAGGGCATGTTTGGCAGCATGAGTGAAGGAGGCTTTGTTGCGAAATAGGAAACCAATTCTAGATTTAACTTTGGATTGGAGATTCTTAATGTGAGTCTGGAAGGAGAGTTTACAGTCTAACCAGACACCTAGATATTTGTAGTTGTCCACGTACTCTAGGTCAGACCCGTCTAGAGTAGTGATTCTAGTCGGGTGGGCGGGTGCAAGCAGCGTTCGGTTGAAGAGCATGCATTTTGTTTTACTAGTGTTTAAGAGCAGTTGGAGGCTACTGAAGGAGTGTTGTATGGAATTGAAGCTCGTTTGGAGGTTTGTTAACACAGTGTCCAATGAAGGGCCAGATGTATACAAAATGGTGTCGTCTGCGTAGAGGTGGATCTGAGAGTCACCAGCAGCAAGAGCGACGTCATTGATATACACAGAGAAAAGAGTTGGCCCAAGAATTGAACCCTGTGGCACCCCCATAGAGACTGCCATAGGTCCAGACAACAGGCCCTCCGATTTGACACATTGAACTCTATCTGAGAAGTAGTTGGTGAACCAGGCGAGGCAGTCATTTGAGAAACCAAGGCTATTTAGTCTGCCAATAAGAATGCGGTGGTTGACAGAGTCGAAAGCCTTGGCCAGGTCAATGAAAACGGCTGCACAGTACTGTCTATTATCGATCGCGGTTATAATATCATTTAGGACCTTGAGCGTGGCTGAAGTGCACCCATGACCAGCTCGGAAACCGGATTGCATAGCGGAGAAGGTACGGTGGGATTCGAAATGGTTGGTGATCTGTTTGTTGACTTGGCTTTCAAAAACTTTTGAAAGGCAGGGCAGGATGGATATGGGTCTGTAACAGTTTGGATCTAGAGTGTCACCCCCTTTGAAGAGGGGGATGACCGCTGCAGCTTTCCAATCTCTGGGGATCTCAGACGTTACGAAAGACACAACGGAGTTGTCAACCGTGATGGCGAGATCATGGAACAGGCAGTCCTTCCCCGGGGGGGAGGATTCAGCAGGGAGGAGAATGTGGCAAAGAGCTTCCTAGGGTTAGAGGCAGATGCTTGGAATTTAGAGTGGTAGAAAGTGGCCGTAGCAGCAGAAACAGATGAAGAAAATGTAGAGAGGAGGGAGTGAAAAGATGCCAGGTCCGCAGGGAGTCTAGTTTTCTTCCATTTCCGCTCAGCTGCCCGGAGCTCTGTTCTGTGAGCTCGCAATGAGTCATCAAGCCACGGAGCTGGAGGGGAGGACCGAGCCGGCCGGGAGGATAGGGGACATAGAGTCAAAGGATGCAGAAAGGGAGGAGAGGAGGGTTGAGGAGGCAGAATCAGGAGATTGGCGGGAGAAGGATTGAGCAGAGGGAAGAGATGATAGGATGGAAGAGGAGAGAGTAGCGGGAGAGAGAGAGCGAAGGTTGCGACGGCGCATTACCATCTGTGTAGGGGCAGAGTGAGTAGTGTTGGAGGAGAGGGAGAGAGAAAAGGATACAAAGTAGTGGTCGGAGACTTGGAGGGGAGTTGCAGTGAGATTAGTAGAACAACAGCATCTAGTAAAGATGAGGTCAAGCGTATTGCCTGCCTTGTGAGTAGGGGGGGACGGTGAGAGGGTGAGGTCAAAAGAGGAGAGGAGTGGAAAGAAGGAGGCAGAGAGAAATGAGTCAAATGTAGACGTAGGGAGGTTGAAATCCCCCAGAACTGTGAGGGAACTTATCAAGGCGTCAAGCTCATTGATGAACTCTCCAAGGGAACCTGGAGGGCGATAGATGACAAGGATATTAAGCTTAAATGGGCTAGTGACTGTGACAGCATGGAATTCAAATGAGGAGATAGACAGATGGGTCAGGGGAAAAATTGAGAATGTCCACTTGGGAGAGATGAGGATTCCTGTGCCACCACCCCGCTGACCAGATGCTCTCGGGATATGCGAGAACACATGGTCAGACGAGGAGAGAGCAGCAGGAGTAGCAGTGTTTTCAGTGGTAATCCATGTGTCAGTCAGCGCCAAGAAGACGAGGGACTGGAGGGTAGCATAGGCTGAGATGAACTCTGCCTTGTTGGCAGCAGAACGGCAGTTCCAGAGGCTGCCTGAGACCTGGAACTCCACATGGGTCGTGCGTGCAGGGACCACCAGGTTAGAGAGGCAGCAGCCACGCGGTGTGAGGCGTTTGTGTAGCCTGTGCGGAGAGGAGAGAACAGGGATAGGCAGAGGCATAGTTGACAGGCTGCAGCAGATGGCTACAATAATGCAGAGGAGATCGGAATGAAATGAACTAAACATCTGGGAAAGGAGAGAGCGGGGCCTCCCTCACCACAACTCCCAAATATAACTCTCCCAACTTCCACCTCAGAAACTATAATTGTTGTAAACTACAGTGGTTCAATGTTTTCTAGGAATAGACTAACTTAGTTTATTCAGCTAGCTAACAAGTTGCAGTATTATTGCGTGAAAAACGTCCGGGCACCTCGTCATAAGACGCCACAGCCAGCTAGCATGCCGGTCTCCAACAACACGGTTTACTAAAGGTATTTACTAAAGGTGCATGTCTGTCTTGTAAAGGTGCATGTCTGTCTTGTATTATTTGCATTATTTGCAGTGTCCATCCAGAGATAGCCGAGTCTGTTTCCGCTGGTTGTTTATCAATGAAGAGTGGTACATCAATGGTTCACTCTCTTCATGTCAAAGAGGGGGCCCCTTCACAAAGAAAAGGGTGAGTTTCTACATGTTACCAGGAAATAGAACAGTTATGTAATACGTGTAGTTGGCTAGAAGAGGAGAAGCTGCAATTCACATTACTGCTAACATTCATATTTAGAACCATCTCTATAATGAAGTGATAATGCCCGAGGCTACGGTAGGATATGAGGAAGCGCTGTGGGACTGAATTTTTTAATGAAAATATGTAAATCATTATTTGAATATGTTGGTAACCCCATTGTATAAAAGTGATAATGCCCTCAAAGCCGGTGTTCGTGCCTAACAACATCCATGCCAATATATCCTCCAAACACCGGCTTCTCTGGCATTATCACTTAATTATAGAGATGGGTTACCAACATATTCAAATAATGATTTACATATTTTCATTAAAAACTTTATTTTGATGAATTTATTCATACTATTTCATCCTTCCACAAGATATAGTCCCGACACAAATCTAGGGTTGTTACCCAAACCGGCTGGTCGTTCGTTCTATCGGTTCGGTTGCCAGAGACGCGACCCAGTCGTTCAGTCTTTTTGTTCTGTATCTATAGACGCGACCCAGTCGTTCGTTCTAAATGTTTCATTGCCATACTGTCTGGCAACGCTATTATCCCTTGCTTGCTAGCTAGCCAACTACGGCTAATTTACAGTCAAGTCAAACAGTGCAGCCAGAATAACAACGATATTTGCATTTGTTTAAGCTGTTTTCTAGAGACATTTATTCGGATAAATCCATAACAATGAGCTAATGAGGTGCGATTTCGCCTGGCATAGAGAATGTGCTCTCTCGTCAGGACACTGTTGTTCAGAGGAGCTAGCCAACAACACAGCTACAGTAACACAATCACTTCAAACTGAAGCTGGAAAGACTGCAAACTAGCTGCACTTCGTTTCGTTTGACCTTTTATCAATTGACATTTCTTTGTATATATCCATAAAAATGATGCCAGCTGATTCATGATTTCGACTGGCTGAGAAACCCTGCCTGTCTGTCTCGTCCCGACTCCCGACACGTTCATTGCTATGGGACAGCTGGAGATCGAATTTCAATATTGAAACAATGTTGCAAATGTCAGAGACAGACAGCAAGGTTTATCTAAATCTCCGCTGTTGAAAACTAAATGTTAGTCTAAAAGAAATGTGAGATAATGTCTAGATGCTTTTTATAGTGGAGATCAAGTTTATAAAGTGCCTGGCTGGGCTGATGAGACAGTGGATTGCACAGTCAGATGGAACAGAGTAAATAGGCTTTTTTAACATCATAGATTTAGCCGGTGGTAACTTGTGGAATAGACACCGGCTGGAATGCAGTTTTTACCAATCAGCATTCAGGATTAGACCCACCCGTTGTATAATTTAGTAATAACCACCTATAAGTGTAATTCTTCAGTTATCACATGGTTTACATTTTCATGTTAATGTTGCAGTGCAGAATAAACTTCACAGAAAATATTCTGTTCATCAATATATTTGATAAAGGATCAGAATAATTTTACGTCTGTAGAAATGAGTTAAACTAAAATTATGAATTCTGACTCAATATTCAATGTTGTATTATGTTGTATGACTTGTGCTGCTTGCAGGTCCCAACCAGAGATGGCAGAGTCTGTTTCATCTGGTTTTTTATCAATAAAGAGTGACCAATCCATGGATCAACCTTTTCATTTCAAAGGGTAATATTTTACATAGTCCTTTGAGCCTATGTCATAATAATAACATTTTCTTAATTATTTGTGACTTAAGGTGAGACAAAAATGCACATAACGATATGATGAGTAGGTTACCATTATAACAGATAGTTATAGGTAGGTTACCATGATAACAGATAGTTATAGGTAGGTTACCATGATAACAGATAGTTATAGGTAGGTTACCATGATAACAGATAGTTATAGGTAGGTTACCATGATAACAGATAGTTATAGGTAGGTTACCATGATAACAGATAGTTATAGGTAGGTTACCATGTGTTATATTATCAGGCCATTATGTGTTAAACTGAATGGGTCAGGTTCTTTTGATCAATGTATTTGATAAATGTTATTTTCCAATTCCCAACCAGGTCAGGAGAGGTACCCTGTGATATCTGCTCTGAGGTCCAAGCTTTGAAGTTCTGTCTGACCTGCACTATCTCCTACTGTGAGACCCACGTTAGGAAGCACTACACAGTACCTAAACTACAGAGACACACCCTGGTGGAGGTGACTGGAGACCTGGAGGAGAGACTCTGTCAGGAGCACCACAGAGCTCTGGAGGTGTTCTGCAGGACAGACCAGATGCTGATCTGCTTGGAGTGTTCAGTGACAAAGCACAAAGGTCATGACCTGATCATTGAAGAGATAAAACAAACTGGAACACAGGTAGTTGATCCCCCACCTCATTATACCCAAAAGTATATGGACACCCTTTCAAATTAGTGTATTTGGCTATTTCAGCCACACCCGATGCTGACAGGTGTATAAAATCGAGCACACAGCCATGCATTCTCCATAGACAGACATTGACAGTAGAATGGCCCTACTGAAGAGCTCAGTGACTTTCAACGTGGCACCGTCATAGGATGCCACCTTTCCAACAAGTCAGTTCGGCAAATTTCTGCCCTGCTAGAGCTGCCCCGGTCAACTGTAAGTGCTGTTATTGTGAAGTGGAAACGTCTAGGAGCAACAACGGCTCAACCGCGAAGCGGTAGGCCACACAAGCTTACAGAACGGGACCGCCGAGTGCTGAAGCGCGTAGAGCATAAAAGTTGTCTGTCCTCAGTTGCAACACTCACTACCGAGTTCCAAACTAACTCTGGAAGCAACACCAGCACAATAACTGTTCGTCGGGAGCTTCATGAAATGAGTTTCCATGGCAGAGCAGCCGCACACAAGCCTAAGATCACCATGGGCAATGTCAAGCGTCGGCTGGAGTGTTGTAAAGCTCGCCGCCATTGGACTCTGGAGCAGTGGAAGTGCATTCTCTGGAGTGATTCACCATCTTGCAGTCCAAAAGACGAATCTGGGTTTGGTGGATGCCAGGAGAACACTACCTGCCCGAATGCATAGTGCCAACTGTAAAGTTTTGTGGAGGAGGAATAATGGTCTGGGGCTGTTTGTCATGGTTCGGGCTAGGCCCCTTAGTTCCACTGAAGGGAAATCTTAAAACTACAGCATACAATGACATTCTAGACGATTCTGTGCTTCCAACTTTGTGGCAACGGTTTGGGGAAGGCCATTTCCTGTTTCAGCATGACAATGCCCCCGTTCACAAAGTGAGGTCCATACAGAAATGGTTTGTCGAGATCGGTGTGGAAGTACGTGACTGGCCTGCACAGAGCCCTGACCTCAACCCCATCGAACACCTTTGGGATGAATTGGAACGCAGACTGCAAGGTAGACCATTTGAATGATACCTCCTTCACTCTCCACTGGTCCAAGGCTGAAGGAATGGAAAAAGTCCCACAACGCTTCATCATATCCTACTGCAGCCCAGGAACAGACCTCCATGCAGAGAATACTAAAGACTGCCACAAAACATTCTCAAACCTGCAGCCTGGTACTGAGCACACCGTCAGCGTCTCAACTGTACTGACCAATGGGGAACAGAGTGAACCTGTCAATACAACCATCTACACTAGTAAGAGATCTTCCCCCAATTACAGCTCATTGTGTCTTTACCGCTAACTACAACGATGTTGTTACATTACAAATACACGTTTTGTTGCTTCTGTTCTGTTTCTAGCTTTTTTCTCCCCACATTAAAAGCCCTGGCTTTATTCTACTTTTCCACCGGCAAGGCTATAAATATTTTATTAAATGTTTAAGGGATTCATTTTTTATTTGTTTTGAAGTGAGGTGAGTGAAAATTTAAGGTAGAACTAGGGCTGTTGCGGTGACCATATTACCGCCCCACCGGCAGTCATGGGTCATGGCCTCAGTAAAATTCCACATGACTACTGAGTCACGGTTATCTCCTTTTTATGCACTCTGGACACGCTTTGGCATTACCCAGCTTGCTAACTACCATCAGGTCCTAATGGCCTGGTACTCAGGGCTCTGTTGTCCCTCTAACCACTCTGACATCAATGCATTTGAAAATCACATCAAACACATCATCTAAACAGTATGCGCTTTTATAACTCACCTCACTGTGATGATCAATTTGATGAAAGAAGTTCAATAACAGGTTGAAACTGAGTGGAAAACATGGTAGTTGTAGATGTTGTTTCAAAGCCTAACATAATGAAATGGACAGCGCTTTCTAAGGTGATGATTAATTCAAAACACCCATGTGCATATTAGAGGTTATGCATATATGAGCCCAAGCCCCCCCCCCCCCATTTTTTTTTAAAAAAAATAAACGGAATTAAAATAATGATTGTGTATTCTTCTTACTATATAATTATATAATATAAAATAATCGCACAGGACTTAAGCTTAACTTGTCTGCTAAATGAACAAGTCTACAGCCTATGGCATGGTGTATAGCCAGATAACATACAGTAGGCCAACTCTTCTGTTCTTCTGAAATACATTTTCTTCATATCATAATGTTTCTTTAGTCCTGCCTAAAATAAATCATTGATTTATTGTGATGGTGTATATTATAATATTTATTATAATTTTTTTTAAATGTAGATGTTCCAAAAAGAAAGCATCAGAGGCTTGTATGTGTTGAGGCCTGGAGATGCTAAAAGTGTTTACCATAAAACTTAAATTAATAGCCCAGGCGTTTATTTGCATAATGCACACAGCTTTTGCTCATTTGCATAGTTAATTGTTTAAGTCCAGAATTCACATCCAGAATTTTTATAAATGCACTAATGTGTTATAATTTACACGTCACATTTCTTTTGTCTTAGTATGCCTCTATTTCAAAGAAGAAGAGAACTTCCTTGACAGAATATTCTCGTCTTTGACTCTGCATTTTCGAGAGGTCTTACTTTTGGCACTAGAGGGCGACGGGCCGATTTCTTGGGGTCTGTACTCCTGAAGTTGTTCACTGTTTTTGTGCTTGCCAGTTAGCAGTTGTCAGCTGTTAGCAGCCAATGGCTAGCAGTTTCTTACTGGCGATAGAAATTGATGGTTGACATAGTTTTTTTCGAGGCATTACTGAATTATTTAATGTAACAAATCAAACATTAAACCTTGTAAACAATTCATGGTAATTTGTGGTAACCTCGTAAACAATTCATAAATTCGTAGTCAGTTACCGTGAGACCGGCTGTCTATTGCATGACAATAACCAGCTGACAAAATGTCATGACCTCCACAGCCCTAGGTAGAACATCTTCTTAAAACACTATGGCAATCTTAGTGCAACACCTAGCAGCCTAATCAAGAGATGTTTCCTTTTGGGGAGGCTGAAAGAGGCATAGTTCAGCCATTATCTGAGAGGAAGTATGTATCTCTTTATCGAATTAAATCAGATTAAATGTTTCTGATTGTAAAAAAAAATTGAAATGTGAAGTGGGACGTCTGTTAAACATTTGTACAAAACATTTTACCCTCAGAACAGCCTCAATCCATCGGGGCATGGACTCTACAAGGTGTCGAAAGCGTTCCACAGGGATGTTGGCCCATGTTGACTCCAATGCTTCTAGAACATTTACATTTTAGTCATTTAGCAGATGCTCTTATCCAGAGCGACTTGGACATCCAGCCAACTTCACACAACTTCTGTGGTCTCCCGAGTGGCGCAGTGGTCTTGGGTGGTAGACCATTCTTGATACACATAGGAAACTGTTGAGTGTGAAAAAAACAGCACCGTCGCAGTTCTTGACCCAAACTTATGCTCCTGGCACATACCATACTCCGTTCAAAGGCACTTCAATATGTTGTCTTGCCCATTCACCCTCTGAATGGCACACATACACAATCCATGTCTCAATGCTTAAAAATCCTTCTTTAACCTGTCTCCACCCCTTCATCTAAACAGTTTGAAGTGAATTTATCAAGTGACGTCAATAAGGGATCATAACTTTAATCTGGATTCACCTGGTCAGTCTTATGGAAATAGCAGGTGTTCTTAATGTTTTGTACACTCAGTGTATATCTGGAGTTAAACCTTAGCACTGACAATAATGTAATTGATTTATTTTCTCTTATTACTTCCTGCTCCAGAACAGCTGAATGTTGACTCAGTGGACACCACATCAGCTGCTGTTAGCTGGAGCCAGCCACCAGGATTGGACCAAACCCAACATCATTACCAGATCTCCTACCGCTGTCCAGGGACAGAACCACACATCACTACCACATCTTCACACAGTATCACTCTCTCTGACCTGAAACCTGCTACTAATTACTCAGTCACTGTCTGCACTGTGCTGGAAAATGGAAGGCAAAGTCAACTGGTGTTAACAACCCTCACCACAGGTAAGTACCCTACTTAAGTATTAGTTATGGTTATCAAAATGACTATATGTGAATTCCCCAGATCTCAAAATGCAGTTTGGTGCTGAAATCAATAAACGTTGTTTATAATATCTGACTTTATGCTTTCTTCCATTCCTGTGAGTCATTATGTCAAGGAGTTGATCTGCCTCTGCTTGCTTTAACTTCATCCAAAGTACAGCGTAAAACCCTTGTTATTGTAGAGAATATGTATAATCACAGCATTCTTTTCATTTATATTAATGAATGAATATAGCAGAAACTCTTCATTGTTGTTACATTACAAATCAGCTTCTCTTGTGTGACTTCTGCCTTAGCTTATTTATTCCCATATCAAAAGGAATTGACCTTTTCTATTTTCAACTACTATTCTACTTTTCCTCCTGTAGTATATTTATGGGGTTACACATAGCACTGACAAAAATGTGTTTTCCCTTAGTACTTCCTGCTCCACACCAGCTGACTGTTGACTCAGTGGACACCACATCAGCTGCTGTTATCTGGAGCCAGCCACCAGGATTGGACCAAACCCAACATCATTACCAGATCTCCTACCACTGTCCAGGGACAGAACCACACATCACTACCACATCTTCACACAGCATCACTCTGCCTGACCTGCAAGGTGGTACTCAGTACTCTGTCACTGTCTGCACTGTGTTGGAAAATGGAAAGGAAAGTCAGCTGGTGTCAACAACCCTCACCACAGGTAAGGAAGTAAAATACTTCAACTTTGACACCAGACATAATATTTATCAAACCTTAACTAATTATCAAAATAACTATGAACTAATCATAATGGATGTGTCAGCATTGGATGTAAAGGTACAGTATCTTCCCTGATGAGAAATATATCATGGTGAATTCCCCAGATCTCTTCATGCAGTTTGGTGTTGAAATCATTAATAGTTTTTATAGTATTTGAATTCTTGCTTGCTTCACATTAGTGTGAGTCATTATGTCAAGGAGTTGATCTGCCTCTGCTTGCTTTAACTTTATCAGTACTACAGTGTAAAATACTTGTACTTGTGGAGAGGATTTATAAATCACAGCATTCTTTTAATTCTTATTTAAAAAATTGGTGTGGCTGCAACAATTTAGCAGCGGCATTGCTAAATGAATACAGCAGAAACCCCTCATTTTTGTTACATTACATATCCAACTTCTGTTTAACTTATTTCTTCCCAACAAGCCGGCATTTTCTACTTTGATTACTTTTCTACATTTCGTCCTGCAGTTCATTTCTGGAGATAAACTTTAGCCCTCATGATAATGTATTTTCCCTTAGTACTGCCTGCTCCAGACCAGATTAATGTTGACTCAGTGGACACAACATCAGCTGCTATTAGATGGAGACAGCCACCAGGATTGGACCAAACCCAACATCATTACCAGATCTCCTACCACTGTCCAGGGACATAACCACACATCACTACCACATCTTCACACAACATCACTCTCTCTGACCTGCAATGTGGTACTCAGTACTCTGTCACTGTCTGCACTGTGCTGGAAAATGGATGGCGAAGTAAACCTGTGTCAACAGCCCTCACCACAGGTAAGGAAGTACCCTACTATGACTGGTGTCAAGTATTGAAGGTGTAGGCCGCCTTGTTTCTTAAATAATTCCACAGATTCATACAGTAATCGTTAATGTGCACAAAGTTTATTTTCTACCGACCATAATTGAAGCTTATTGTATTGGCTTATTGTATTAGTTAGTATGCTGGCACAAGCAAGGGAACTGCTAAAATGAGGGTGATGTTTCAGTTGAATAGTTTTCCCTCTATGAGAAGAGAGAATGGGACAGCACTAACAAACTGAACTCTGAGGAATCAAGGATGTTAGAAATCTAACATGGGTGATGTCATCCATTCATCCATTCACAAAAAGATTTTACTGAAAAATGCAGTTTTTCAATGTGATAACAGGAATTACATCCAGGTTAGATTTACGTCAAAGGTAACACCAGTGTCCTTGTAATCCAACAGAACATGAGGTCCTGGATTCTTCTGGTGGGGAAGACTGGAGATGGGAGGAGTGCAACAGGAAACACCATCCTGGGTAGAAATGCTTTTAACTCAAAAATGTCTCCCTACTCTGTGACATCCAAGTGTGACAAGAACGGAGGAGAGGTGGATGGACAGAAGGTTGTGGTTATCGACACTCCAGGCTTGTTGAACACCTTCTATACCCAACAGGAGACACTGACAGAAATCAAGAGGTGTATCTCTCTCTCT